TGAGAGGATGCTTGTCCCAGAATCACCTAGGTTAGGGACAGACATATCACATAAACCAGTTTAAGTGAGCAGAAACTAGTTTAAACCTATAACAGAACATAAGTTCAGTGCACATAAACCAGTTTCAAAATGGCTAAAACTGGTTTTAGATTAATCTGGTTGAATATAGTAGCAGACTTAAACTGGTTTGACCCAAATCAGTTATGCAATGCAATGCAACTAAGACCCCTTCCTGGTTTAAGTTAAATCAGAGTCCCCCAGGATCCAAGATGCTTTGCAGCTGTGGGCTGGGCTGGGCTGGGCTGGGCTGGGCTGTCTGCTCCAGAGAACAGGCTGGCCCTGCCCCCTCCTCCCTAGCCAGAGCATTGGGGGAGACTGCAGGCACAACAGGGTCTGCCTGGCTTCCCTCACTGCTCAAGCAGAGATTCCCCCATCTCTCCCTCCCTCCCTCCCTCCCATCTCCCACAGCAGACTCCAGTCCCATGGACCCTAGGCATGTGGTATGCTAGCTAATGTTAAGAGGTGTCTGGGTGTGTGTATCTCTAATTTCACTGGGACAGGACAAAGGCAAACAAACCAGTGTCTGCTTAGGTCTTTTCGGAGCTAATCAACAGGTCAGCTGGCAATGTGCCTCCTTGGAAAAAGCTGTTTAAGAAGAGCTTGAGAATGAGAATGAGAGAGGCTTTTGTTTTGCTGATGGGCTGATAAACATTGTCATTTTATCAGCCTCTCCTGCTGGCTTGCAGCCCTGTCAGGTTTGCAGACAGGGAGAGGGAGATTGAAAAGCTCAGTACAGTAAAAAACTCTGTTATCCAGGATTTTACTAACCAGAATACCCTATTAACTGGAATTTCTGGTCAGCCAGCCAGATGCAAAGGAGGGTGGGGTTCACATTCAGTGGCCATCGCTGCCACCCACCACCCTGTGCTGCCACCGGTCTGCATGCTGTGGCCGCCATCACCCCGACTCTGCATGTGGCTACCATCACCCCATCCCCCCCTCCCCCCAGCTCCACATCTGGCCACTGGCAGTACAATTATTAACTGGATAACCAGAATTTTAAGATAACCATCACCCCCACCCCCTTACCCCACTCATGCCAGGTAACAGAGCTTTTTACTGAATCTTCAACAGATGCAAGCGCTGCACCCCTCCCCCCACAATTTGCCCCAGAGTGCTAGCCCAGGGCTGGGGGCTGGCAATACTCCGGCCCCATGAGCAGTGGGTGGGGGAGGGAGGGAGCTTAAGACAGTGCAGGCAGGGTGGGGGTTTAAACCTCTCCCTAATCGGAGTGTCCTGCTGGGGCCTGGTCATGCCCCCTCTCCTCCCCAGCTCAGCATTGTGGAAGGGAAGGGAGGGCTGCTCTAGCACCTGCAGGCTTCTAGCCTGAGCCATCGCAGGCATGTGACTGCATTTCTGGAATGAAAAGGGAACATCTATCCACCTCCAAATCTGCTCAATCTTGGCAGGTTAGACTAACCTGCAAAGATTGAATCAATTCAGGCTCAGGCTTTTTGAATGCCTGTCCCTAGCCCTAAAGTCTACTGGGTATGGCATCCTCCTGGCAGGTGGGCAAGTTGGTTTTGAGGGCATTGTGACTACTGTGCTGTTGAATGAATGTGACTGCTGCTCTGTTTCAGGTGGACCCTGAGGCACATCTGAGAATGCAGAAGTGAAACTTCAGGGGTGAAAGCTTATGCAGTGATGCAGTCGGGGGTGGACTAAGGACAAAATCCTGAGTTTAGATGGAGCTGAGGTGCCAAAGTCCCTCTTGGAGCATCACCGTCCATTTTGTGGACTCAGTTCCCTGTGATATACCAAACCCTGCCTATCTTGCAGGGGTGTTCACAAGGAAAAATACATGGCATGTGAGGCAAGCTATTACAATGGAGATATACAAGTGTCATAGTTGGTAATGTTACAGTTCTGTTATAGCCAACATGGTTTAGGAATTATGTGAGAGCAAGGATTTTTTGGGGGTGCTGCCTTTTATTGAACTAACTGCATGGCTGGAATAAAGTTAGCCAAGCATTCAAGTGCCATGCATTCTTCATTAGGTCTGAGGAAGGAAGCGAGTGATGAGTATGTAAAGAGACAATGGAAAGCCAACATGGGCATTGTATTGGGAAGGGTGCAGACAGAATCCTGTCTTTTTGAAATCCTACCTTTTTAAAGCTGCTGTTAAAATCCCTTGTTACATAACTAACAGACCATTATGTAATGCAGGAGACTGGGCAGGATGGACCTATGGTCTGTCCAGTAAATGGCACCATTGACTGGATGCACTGGAGAGAGAAGTATCATCTACCTCCTGCTGGACACTTCCCAGCTAGCATGTAGTAGAAAAGCATGGTGTGGTCATGGGACTCTTGAAAAACCAATTCCCAGAATGAAGTTTGAAAGAGGAGAGACCCAGCCTACAATAAGGCCCGAGAGATTAAATATGTTAATGGAAAAAATTCTTCCAGCCCCATGAGAAGCAGGCAAGGGAAAAGGACTCCGAGCTGTGCAGGCTGAAATTGTTCAAGGGTTAGCGGGGAAACTATTTTCACATCCCACAGACTCTGGTAAATCTTCCCAATTGTTGCAACCTGCTGCAGTAATCCAGTGTCTCAGCCTGGAGGCAGAACCCTCTCCAGGTCAATAGGGACTTCTGCTGGAAGGATTTAAACCTGGACGCTTTCTCCCAGTGTCAAACCTAAGTTTCCCTTGATAGGGAAACTGAAATCAGAAGCACTTTGTCACTGCAGCTCCTATTCCCTAACACAAGCCTTTGGTCTATTTCCATTAATAATAAAAGTAATAAAAGTAAAATATTCTCACCTGGGAAAAGAATCCACACCCACACAAGGAAAATCCTCACCATCCTGCTTTGTTTCTCGGGCTGCAGATTACAGCTGTGTTTCCAAAACCCCGCATTCTCTGTGCCCCAGCCAGAGCTGCTGGGACCCCGTCTGCCTTCCAAGTGCTGGCAGGAAACTCTGAAACTGAGACGTATTTAATTTCAGTTTTCTGTGCTCTGATGACTTTTTCTTTCTGAGGGGGTGGGAACTGAAATGAGCAATGTGACTCATGCGGTCATTGCTCTAGATAGGTTGCTTCAGCTGCCTTCAAGGGCAAACCAGTTGTGTGTACACTTTTTCACAACCAGATTCTTAACCCTGTGCCCCCATGTTGCTCCCTGAATGGAGCGTCTTGAGGTCACACAAAGGATCACCGTTGTCCTATGCCTGAAACCAGATGCAGAGTATGGGGGGATGGGTTTCACTTAATGACCCCCTGGAAATATCCATCTCTGATATTTGCTCTTTCAGCGTGCTGAGCTGCACGACTTTCAGTTCCCACTAGTCAATAGGACTTGAAGGCATTTGCTTAAGATGCTCAGATCCTTCTAGCACTGTGCTCTGTATTGGGAAAGGCAGATGCTCTAAGGGTCAACCCCATGCCTATCTATGCTCTGTCCTTTTTGCTGTAGCTTCTTGGTGGGCTGAATTCTACTTGCTCCCTTGTGACTGGTGGGTTTTGCCTAGTGGTTGAAAGGTGAGATGTAGTAGTTAAAGAACTGAGTTCCTCTTCCCTACTTTGTCTGGACGATCTACTGGCTTGACTCAAAGCCCTTGGGATAATAAGGATTTTTGCCTGCTGTGGACAGCAGGATCAGGCATATTTTTGAGAAACAAAGCAATGGATAGCATGGTATAAAAGACTTAGGTCTTCCTTCATCTTGTACTGCAACTTCCATTCCCTTTACGTGCTGGTTTATTAGCTCTCATTACAGTGTATGGGCGCGTCCACACATGCAAGCATGTGCACTTGCGGCAGCTCAGATAGAAGTGGTACAAATTTGAGCCAGGGCTTTTTGCCTTGGTGCACGTGCTCAGACATGTACTTTGTTGTGGAGCAAATTGTGTCACTTGGGGCAAAATAACCCTGCTTGGCTCCTCTCGGATCTGTAGCCAGGGAGAGCTAGAGCCCAGGGCCAGCACCTGTGCTGTCCCCAGCATTATAAAAAGCTGCCCTGTCCTTGCCCCATCCATACAAAAACCTGCCCTGGCAAACAGCTCAGGGCTACTCGCTCTCAGGAGCTTCTGGGGCCCGGCCAATTGGTACCTGGGGACACTACCCCTTGTGCCAGCTGGACTGTTGCAGCAGCATCCCAAATCCATTTTTAAAAATACCCC